TGGTTCCCTAGATATACTGTACATTGAAGTTACCAGATCGTGAAACTGCTAGCGAGCTGTAATGTAATAAACAGTTTAATCCTGATAGAAGTGTCAGTTCAAGAAAGGCGTAAAATTGGACAAAAATAGAACAAATCTTCTACAGCAGGAGAAGAGATTTATCATTCAAAGACACTAGAAATATATTGCTCAACAGAGTGGGCGGGGATATATGGGTACACTACTGGGTGGTTCCCAGCAAATGTTTTGCCATTGTCCAATCACCTGAAGCTAGCAGCAAGTAGCCCATGGTCTAAGAGTCAACTCTGAAAAAGATATAATTAAATAATCGTATCAAGATATCAAGAAATCAAAGAGTCCATAGTGGAAATGTAAAAATTGTTCTGGTCCTTAAGGGTTATAGAGGTGCAAGAGCTGAAGTAGTTAAAACATGAAAAAAGAGCCTAAAGCTTAATCTGCTGACTCAAAGACAAACTATTATTATGCCTGAAAATATTTTTTAAATGTATTTCTTCGGCCTGACCATTAATCACCTATTCTGTGTTACCATGCAGGCAGTCCCCGAGTTAATAACATCTTACATAAGACTCATACTTAAGAAAGGCGGCCATCTTGCTGCTCACCACATGCTGGCACCTACTGTCCTGCGGACCTCTCAGAAATCCCACATTACTGCATGACCAGTTAACCCTTACCTATCCTATCCAAAACATAAAAATATTTTTTTGGCTGGAGTTACACTTATAAAATGTAGCTGTTCAAACTTAAATACAAATTCAACTTAAAGTGTTACTAAACCTAGGACCCTGCATTCACTATATCTGATCTCCCACAGTACACACAACATAGAAATGAAATTATTTTAGTAAATATAAACGGCTAAATACCTTTTCTCATCAGCGTGTGACTTCAGCAGAGCACTGGTTAAAGCTTGTAGGAGTTTTCTTTCTGTTCTAGGAGGATGCAAAACCCCTGACCCTCTGTCTGGACAGTGCGGATTGGCTCTGTGCTTATCACATGCACTCGCCCAAGAAAAAAAAAAACCTCTCTAGCAATATACACTAAGCTGAGCATGTGCATGCGACTACGGGTTTAGTCTGTCTTATCAGAAGGACATTTGAACAAGAGGAGGGGCAGAGAAGAAAGGACCAAACAGACTTTTTACACAATGCAGAGGATTAACCCCTTAGGTTCCACAGTGACTATAACAAGCATGCTTTACTGCATATACAGACTGATTTTACTGTTGTGGGTTTAGTAACACTTTAAGAACAAATCTACAGAGCTTATCTTGTTCATAACCCAGGGACTGCCTGCATCTTCAAAAGGTCTATTCAAACAAACAGGGTGGGACTATCGTACCTCCTTTGTCTGGGTACTGTCTACGAATTCTAATAGTTAAAAAAATAAATTATGCACAAAATAAAGCTGGTCTGTTCGGGTTCTACAAAGGGCTCCACAGCTGTGATCTATTGTAGTCACACTCTTGGAATAAATACAGAATAATGAGGTAGGAATAATGGCAATTCTGTTGTCTCGCCATAAAGTCAACAATTACATTCATGAACTACCCAAACAATTAAACAATTTCTAAGCTCAAACAAGTGACAAGTTAATGAATACTGTGGTGCAAAAGATGTGATTTTCCAGCCATGCTTAATTTTTGGTCTGGGTATGGTGCCATTGTTAAGCACTAAAATGGCAAAGCCTATGAACGAGGACTATAGTTGGATCCTTCATGGAGGATCGTATGAATTTTTGCTAAGGTTTCTAGATGTAATTAGAATTTTTATTCAACTTCCTCTTTTGTATGTATGAAATAACCATGCTCCCTATATAGAATCCAGATTAATATATTGAAATCCCAGAGGCACCTATGGGTATTATTGAATGACATTTGTGCCAAGCAGGCCAGAAGTGCAATGCTGCCACAAGGGAAAAGCGTTTGATCTAGCAGATATCATGACCAGGACTTGATAAAAGAGAACTTTTAATTGTTTAATGATATGATGCCAATCAACTTTCCTTTCACATGTAAGGCACAGGATACAGATATAGTTATAAAAATGTACTAATAAGGAGCTGGTTAATGCAAAAGATTAGTTTTCGCATATAATTTTACACATTATAGCAGTGAAGAAGGAACAAAGGGATATATTACTATATTATGGAAATATCATGCGTATTGTTCTTTTCATAGACCATCATTTTACCTATCCATCACCTCTGATCCCCTCTGCCACTCTGATCTCTCTCAGCGCCTCTCTTTGCTCTAGATGCCACAATCACATGCTTCTTCCTACTTCTTGAACAGGCTAAGATGTCTGCCTCCACTTTCTTTTCAAAAAATATTATGGCCTTCTATGCTCTGCTCCTCCCCTGATATCCTTGACGTCTAATGCCTAATTTCATCCATTTTCTTGGTTTTCTTGGTTTGGATAGAATAGAGAAGGACTAAAACTTTTGTCAAATGTTATTGCTCTTGATGATTGGGTGATTTTTTTTCACGCTTCCTTTCCACATGACAGGTGTCAGGTAGAACAGGAAATGAGGGAACATCCATGCAGCAAGGATACAGGCAATAATTAGAATAGTTTTTTTTCTTGCTTCCTCTCTGTCTGCACATAGAACAGAAAGTGAGTGGAAATCTCTTTAAAAACCTGACAGAGGTTACTGACTAACCCTTTAATATCCTAAACATTTAACTGTAGATGGGCTTTATGCTATTAACAGATAGGCGCTAACCATTACCTAGGGCAGCTGATACTATATTTGATGTCTTCCAGACAAGTACAAATTTTTGCTTGCTGTTACAATGACCCATACTAAGACTTTTTTTTTATCACCATGCGTCTTTTCTGCCATGTAATATGTGTGTTGTACTCATCTATTGGGAATTGGTATACTTGTTTACGGTCATACCATGGATCACATTGGATCTGTGTATCAATATTGTTTTTCTATTCTAATGTGAAATTAATATTTTTTCTTTAAATGTTTAATAACAGCAGATTAAATATATCTGATGTATTCAACTGTCCTACTCTTGATTGTTTACTTTCCTTGCCCATTGTTTCCACTATATGTCTTGAATTTTCACCATTGATGTGGTCTGCTCCACTCAGTATTCCTAAATATTTCCTTCTATTATGTTTACTCACTGAGGTGCCATTAAAAGTAGTTTGAGGCAGGAGTCGAGGAACACTGAAGTTGTTGACATTATTTTGCCTTGAGTTTGGAATGTTCACTGAAGGCGTAGCCTAAAAGAAAACAAAAATATTCTATATAATTATCAGGCATTCGTTTAAAAATCACAAATCAGTTAATTACAAATAATGTGAACCTGTGGGGGACAAAATTCTAATAGTGTGCGGACTTTAAATAGGTGCCTCCAAGTGTCTGCAGGCCATCCAAGCTCCTTTGTAGACCATTCCAGGACCCTACATACACAGAGTTTTGGGGTCAATGACACTGATCCCCTCTTTCCTTCCACACTTTCTAACCCTTACTATTGGCTAGCAAGGTCCATCACAGTGATCGGCTAATAGTAAAGCTTGAGAGTGAGGTGGGGTCAGCAACTAAGAAGCACTTACTGTATGTTTTAGTAACCCTCCGCTAGTCTACAAGAGATCTGAGATGGTGTCAGGTATGAATAGGTGTCTGCTATTTATAGTACTGTAGAAATGTTTACCCCCCCCAAGTTTGATTAATTTCTGGCTAATGCCACAGTGCTTTTAGTAGAGAAGTTGCATTCATCTAAGGAATAGCCACAAGATGAAATGCAACCCATGGTTTTCTGTCTGAAATATATTAGTGAGAACACCTATATCTTTCAATTTAAATACGTAACTCAGAATTGGAGCAAACATGACAACAATGAAAGATATTCTGATCATATTGAATCCCTTAAAAAAATAGCACATCTATGGCTTTCCTGCTATCGAATTGTTGGTATCTTGTCGAGCTGTAAGACGACTGTTGAACAAACCTTGAACGTTATCAGATGATGAGGTGGCCGAAAAGAACTTACCTCTATATGGGGGAGCTGGTTCCAGTTATTGACAGACAAGCAAAACAATACAGAACAGATGCAAGAGATATCTTCTTTCTGACAGCTTGTCCCATTTCAGACCCACCCATCTCAACAGATATAAAGACCAAGCTAAAAGCCATAGATCAATTACAACTAAGAACTAATCGGAGATTTTTGCTGTTCTAAATTCCCTCTCTTACTCATTTTCCCGACCTTCAGACTGAGCAGACGAGCTTCTTCCTGGTATCCCCATTCTCATATTGGTCTTCAGCTTCAAGCCAAAACAAGCAGAGGACACTGGGTCCTCCTTGCCCTTGAAGCCATTTCTTTGTGGTGATGAGTTTTGATCTTTCCTTGTGATGGTGAACGCTCATATCCCGAATTCAGTGCAGTGTTGTTAAGCATGTCTTCCAGGACTGGGAATTAAAAATGAATGATGGACAGTGTATAGGGTCAAACAGAAAATGGTAAAGTAAAAATGTATGGGACCTCTTAGAGCCAAAATTAAAGACTTGTCAATTAATGTATTCAGCTTATATATGTAGATTAATTATTATTGGTGGAGAGCTGACTAAATGACCATTTAGGAGCACACCATAAAACATTGAATTAAATGTCTTTCATTGCTAAATTCAAAAGAAATCACTAAATGTAACACACTTTATTTTTTCCAGATGGAGTACAAATCTTACACCATGTAATTTATCCATATTTGGCACCACCATTTCTCTTCTTTTTGAAATTCCTGGCATTGTTTATACATACAGGTGTTGTGGCAGGACAAAAAAGTTGCCCCATCATGATATATATGATGGGAAGTGAGTAAACTCTTTCCAACACAGCAGGTAAGTGAATGCGAATTCATAAATATATCCAAACCTGAATTTCACAATAAAACTTTATCAGCATTATGAACCTCGCTATGTGGTAGGTAACAATAATTTTTCTTTATAGATATTAACTTACATTAATTTTCATGGTTTACCTGATAAGCATGATCTGAATTCACTAAGTAATAGGTGTTTGGAGCTGATCTACTCAGACAGGTGTTTAGCTTGGTGTCTGTCTTGGTATAGATGGTTTCATAACTTCCAGCACTAGGAAGGAGTACTGTAGACGGAACCGATGCATAGGTTGGAGATACAGCAGACAGGCTGTAGAATCCTTCGGTGCCAGAGTCATTGTTTAGTCTGATCTCTGTATAGTAGAAGTCTTCTTCACCATCACAATCATCAGATTCTCCACTGCGGCTGAAGAGAGAAACATTGAATTAAGAATCTCAAAATTATCTCTCTAAGCTTTGCAGGTCATGTGTGTGTATGAAAAATACAAAGACATGACTAGTAACACATACCAGTGGTACTTCCTGAATACTTCTGAATACAAAGGAAGATTCAGAATACAGTATGTATAGAACAAAAATTCCCCAATACATTATGTAGTACTATCTGGCAGCCCCTATGTCACTACAGAACACAGTAATGATCTTGGAACTGGTGAATGGAACCAGATGAGTGCAGATTGGTGGTGTGGGCAGGAGGACATATACTGTAAGTATTAAAGTGGTTGTAAACCCTTACATATACCCAGTGAACAGAGTGGCCTCAAGTGATACACAGAGATTAAACAAATCTTCCTACATAAGTTGTACCTGTTTATCTGCAGTATCCTCTTTTCTACATCCGTGCAAAGTGCTGAATTTTAGAGCTTGTCTGGGAGTTTAGAAAAAAGGGAGCAGAGAGCTGAAGTTACACTCTGCAAAGCTCAGTGAGGAGATGTCTGAGAGCTCTATGGGGGGAAGTGACACACAACCTCCACACAGCTCACAGGAACAGAGCTGTCTATCTGCTGGAGGTCCCTCCCCTATCAACATTTTTCACTTGGTGTCAGAAAAACGTGTTAGAAGTGATTCATGTTGATAGCAGAGGAACAAAGCAGCAGACAGGAATTACACTTAGTGCTTTTAATTGAGACATGTACACTTTATAGAGGGATATGCTTTGTTTATATTTCATGTCTACAATCACTTTAACTCTTTTCTTTACAGCCATTAAAAAAATCTTCCAGCAAATTAAAAATATATACATAAGCTCTAATAAAAATAAAAATAAAGCATCTTTGCTAAGTGAATTTTTCAATATATATAATCAATTATATTTGGTCAAGAAATAACATTTTAGCCATGTGAGCATACAATTATTGTACTGTGGATAATGCTTTATACTGTATCTGTTCTCTTTTTTTTAGTTCAGAGCAGTACACAACAACACTAATGGGCTGCAGAGAACATCTCCCATTAGCTTGCACCTTTTAATGGAACTATTGGCTTTATTGACAGATTTGTAGATTTTTACAGACAGTTTATAGACAGATTTGTTTGGTTTCTGTCCGGCTTCTTCTCTTGGTATTCCAGAGAAAATGGAAGGTAAAGTAAAGCTTAAATTCATTAGGCTTACTGTATTTCCCTAAGCTACAAAGATCACAATTTGCCATAAGGACTATTATTTTCAGCAATGAGGACAAATGAGATCCTAAAATAACAGTTACATAGCTGAAAATACCAGATGCCATAGCTAATCAATTTGAACCAACAGACTACAAGTATTGTAATAGGTTACCCAAGGTGAATGGTCCGAATGTGTTTCTTGATCCCAGCAGCAGTGCTTAGAATTTTCCCACACTTTTTCCACAGACATTTGAACATCACTTTCATTGAGTTCTGTGAATAAACAGGGCACATTGTAATGGATCTTTACAAACATATGAATAATATAAAAGACAGAAAAGCTGTAGAGCTCATTCACACTTATAATGGCCATTAGTGTAGGTTCACAGGATTGCTTTGTTTATAATGGTGCTGGTGCAGTGGGTTGATGTGATTTGCCCAAAAGTTCTAGTCCTCATGTCCTCATGCTTTATAGGGGCATTCAAGTGGAATGGCAGTGTGCGTCAAAGTAGGACAACCCATCTGCTGAAGGCAATAAAAATGCACAGGAAAATGCAGACACATATGATAGGTGTGAAAATTTAAAGTCCCTAGCCAGCATGATAAAAAGTGTGCTGTTCATGATAACAAATGTTTTGGAACACATCATATTGTGAGATGTCAGTTTAAATAAAAAAAAAACCCACATTCTAAAAAAGACACAAAAAAACACCTACTGTAAAATACAATCACCTGTAATTGTAATGAGTTTGTAAAAATCTGGAAGATTGCCTAACGCAAAAATATCCTTTGCCCATCCATAGCAAAGCATAACGTTAGTTTATTTCCCCTCCCTAGTGGCACATACTAACCTTTGTTCATTCCTCCACTGCTCCATTCTACTGCTAAGAGCAAAAAAATACCTCTTACATCCACGCATAGGGGATCATGTGATTCACTCCACTTCCCCTCATGTGACAGAGCTCGGCCAGTCACAGTTACATGACATGAAGTAATTGTCAGTCAAACTGTCACAGCACTGAAAAATGTCCTGGACAGCAGGGGGTGTAACATGCCCATATTGGTGTAGTTAAAAATGTCTAAAGCATGATAAAATGGCATTCCTACAAGTGTTTGCTTTCTGTATTCCAGCCATTATTTGATAAGTGAATAAAAGGCACCCTGCTTTCTCTAGCAGTTGGCACCAAGGATAAGGGTCCAGTATGTAATTTGAGGGTCTGAAACATAATTTTAGGGGGGACCCCATTTTTGTTTTCAAAAGTTTTTTATTTCAAAATTGCAAAATTTTACAATGACAGTAACAAGGCGTTATAGAGCATAAAGTCGGACAAAACATACGGCATTTACATCAGAAATAAAAAGAAATGCCTTAAGTGACAGACAATGGGCTGACAATCAACTGAAACATACAGAAAAAAAAAAGAAATAACAAAGGAACAGAGAATACTAGTAAGATGAAAAAAAAAGAGAAGGAGAACAGAAGAGTTGAAGAAGAAAAAGGAGAAAGGATAGAAAGAGGGAGAAAAAGAAAAGAGACTGATAGGAGACCCAGGAGACCAAGGAGAGAAGGTAGTGCTTAATCAAGTTTGAGAAGAAGGTAATGCTATCTTCATAAAGGATGCCCACGGTTCCCATGTGAGGTCAAACATAGATTGTCTATCATTAATCACGCAACCGTTTCATGGATCATAATCCAGGAAATCTTATTTAACTCCATTTTTTTTGTTATTGGTCAATGATTGTGTCTGCACAATGCACTGTGGAAAGTTTGGCTTGGCGGTTCTCATCAAAAATCCTGAAATTTCAGATTACATCCTTCAAACAAGCGAAATATGGTCTGAGCCCTGTGTTCATCTCTATTGATTATAAATGTTTACTATGAGCATTTATGATATGTTGGAAATACTTCTGGAATCAGGAAAGCATCAGGCCTAGGAGAAATACTACTGGTAGCATGTTGCAATGCTGAGGTGATCCTTATTCTATGCTGCCACACACACATATAAATATATACTGTAAACACTGCTCAAAAAATTAAAGGAACACTTTTAAAACACATCAGATCTCAATGGGGAAAAATATTATGGTGGATATCTATACTGATATGGACTGGGTAATGTAATGGAACATAAGGTAGCCCCATCGTTTGATGGAAATAAAAATGATCAACCTACAGAGGGCTGAATTCAAAGACACTCCAAAAATCAAAGTGAAAAAATGATGAAGCAGGCTGGTCCATTTTGCTGAAATTTCATTGCAGCAACTCAGAATGGTACTCAGTAGTTTGTATGGCCCTCACGTGTTTGTATGCATGCCTGACAATATCAGGGCATGCACTTAATGAGACAACGGATGGTGTCCTGGAGTATTTCCTCCCAGATATGGACCAGGGCATCACTGAGCTACTGGACAGTCTGAGGTGCAACCTGACAGCATTGGATGGACCGAAACATGATATCCCAAAGGTGCTCTATTTGATTTAGTTCAGGCGAGCATGGGGGCCATTCAATGGTATCAATTCCTTCATCCTCCAGGAACTGCTTGCATACTCTCGCCACATGATGCTGGACATTGTCGTGCACCAGGAGGAACCCGGAACCCACTGCGCCAGCATAGGTTCTGACAATGGGCCCAAGGATTTCATCCCGATACCTAATGGCAGTCAGGGTGCAATTGTCTAGCCTGTAGAGGTCTGTGTGTCCCTCCATGGATATGCCTCCCCAGACCATCACTGAGCCACCACCAAACAATCATGCTGAACGATGTTACAGGCACCATAACGTTCTCCACACCTTCACCAAACTCTTTCACGTTTGTCACATAAGCACAGGGTGAACCTGCTCTCATCTGTGAAAAGCACATGGTGCTAGCGGCGGACCTGCCAATTCTGGTGTTCAATGACAAATGCCAATCGAGCTCTATGGTGCCGGGCAGTGAGCACAGGGCCCACTAGAGGATGTCAATCCCTCAGGCCACCCTCATGAAGTCTGTTTCTGATTGGTCAGAGACATTCACACCAGTGGACTGCTGGAGGTCATTTTGTAGAGCTCTGGCAGTGCTCATCCTGTTCCTCCTTGCACAAAGGAGCAGATACGGTCCTGTCCAGATCTCCTAGAGTAACTGCCTGTCTCCTGGAATCTCCTCCATGCTCTTGAGACTGTGCTGGGAGACACAGCAAACCTTCTGGCAATGGCACGTATTGATGTGCCATCCTGGAGGAGTTGGACTGCCTGTGCAACCTCTGTAGGGTCCAGGCATTGCTTCATGCTACCAGTAGTGACCCTAGCCAAAAGCAAAACTAGTGAAAAACAGTCAGAAAATATGAGTAGGGAAAAAAATGTCAGTGGCCTCCACTTGTAAAACCATTCCTGTTTTGGGGGTCATCTCATTGTTGACCATCCAGTGCACCTGTGGTTAATTTCATTAACACCAAAGCAGCTGAAACTAATTAACAACCCCCTCTGCTACTTAACTGACCAGATCAATATCCCAGGAGTTTAATTGACTTTATGCTATACTCTGAGATATATATATATATATATATATATATATATATATATATAGTGCCTTGAAAAACTATTCATACCCCTTGAAATATTCCACATTTTGTTATATTACAACTAAAAACGTAATGTATTTTATTGGGATTTTGCGATTTTAAGTGATAGACCAACAAAAAGTGGCACATAATTGTGAAGTGGAAGGAAATGATTTTCAAAACTTTGTAGAACCAGCTTTTGCTGCAATTACAGCTGCAGATCTTTTTCTGGATGTCTCTAACAGATTTGCACATCTAGAGAGTGAAATTTTTGCCCATTCTTCTTTGAAAAATAGCTCAAGCTCTGTCAGATTGGATGGAGAGCGTCTGTGAACAGCAATTTTCAAGTCTTGCCACAGATTCTCAATTGGATTCAGGCCTGGACTTTGGCTAGGCCATTCCAACACATGTATATGCTTTGATCTAAACCATTCTATTGTAGCTTTGGCTATATGTTTAGGGTCATTGTCCTGCTGGAAGGTGAACCTCCACCCAAGTCTCAAGTCTTTTGCAGACTCTAACAGGTTTTCTTCTAAGATTGCTCTGTATTTGGCTCCATCTACCTTCCCATCAACTCTGACCAGCTTCCCTGTCTCTGCTGAAGAAAAGCATCTGCACAACATGATGCTGCCACCACCATGTTTTACAGTGTGGATGGTGTGTTCAGTGTTAGTTTTCCACCACACATTGTGTTTTGCTTTTAGGCCAAAAACTTCTATTTTGGTCTCATCTGAGCAGAGCACCTTCTTCAACATGTTTGCAGTATCCCCCACATGGCTTCTGGCAAACTGCAAACTGGACTTCTTATAGCTTTTTTTCAGCAATGGCTTTCTTCTTGTCACTTTTTCATAAAGGCCAGATTTGTAAAGTGCACAACTAATAGTTGTCCTGTGGACAGATTCTCCCACCTGAGCTATGGATATTTGCAGCTCCTCCAACGTTACCAAGGGCCTCTTGGCTGCTTCTCTGATTAATGCTCTCCTTGCCGGCCTGTCAGTTTAGGTGGCGGCCATATCTTGGTAGGTTTGCAGTTGTGCCATACTCCAGTTGTGCCATATTTCCATTTTCAGATGATGGATTGAACAGTGCACCGTGAGATGTTCAAAGCTTGGCATAATTTTTTATAACCTAACCCTGCTTTAAACTGCTCCACAATTTTATCCCTGACCTATCTGGTATGTTCCTTGGTCTTTATGATGCTGTTTGTCCACTAATGTTCTCTAACAAACCTCTGAGGGCTTCACAGAACAGCTGTATTTATACTGAGATTAAATTACACACAGGTGGACTCTATTTACTAATTAGGTGACCTCTGAAGGCAATTTGTTCCACTATATTTTAGTTAGGGGTATCAGAGTAAAGGGGGCTGAATACAAATGCACGCCACACTTTTCAGATATTTATTTGTAAACAAATGTTGAAAATCATTTATTATTTTCCTTCCACTTCACAATTATGTGCCACTTTGCGTTGCTCTGTCACAAAAAATCCCAATATAATACATTTATGTTTTTGGTTGTAACATGACAAAATGTGGAAAATTTCAAGGAGTATATATATACAGTATATCGCTGATTTGTTTTAGGAGGGTGCTCCTGGTCACAGAGTGACGACTGGGAGCCAGTAGAATGGGCTCCCGATCACATGATCACTGTGACAGCCAATCATGGTGATCATATACGGAAAAAAATTAGGAAAAGGTAGACGTGTACTTACATCTTCCCCTACTGCCACATAAAGTAAATGTTACCGGTGAGTCGTGCAACTAGTTTAACCTATGTTTAATTGAATGTCACTTCTTTATTCTAATTTTATCAGTGTAAGGTACTGATAAAAGAATTGCTGTGTTTTTATTGCCCTACATGTGACCTTTTAGCAGTGTATAGCAGCTAATCTATGTGGGTAAATGATTATTTTATTTAATTTCTTAAACATAAATTAATTCATTCATGCATTCAATTTCTTGTCTCTTAGTTCATGAGCGCTGCAGGGGTGGCCCATTAAATCTGGTTTCATGCATTAAGGTTTATTTTGCGTTCTCCATTAAAGAGTTAATTGAATTCTAAAATGTGTCAAAACCAGGCTATGTTTTTCAGGAGCATTGTGTGATGGTATGGTAAAAAGCTCACATTAACATTCCACAGGAGATACAGTGTGACATATAACACCTGTACATACATTAAAGAACATTCAACTCATAAAGCAGTGTGCGTTGACACCAGTGTGGAGGATAGTGTGATCTCAGAATGATAAATGGATTGTGCTTCATCAATTCGACCTTGAGACTTCACATTTCTGAAAAGCGGAATTATTGGGGAAGGCTCTCAGAATTTAAAGTTTTTAAGATCTGAATAATAAACAGCCTGGCAGTGCCACACAACATTTCTTACAGTCACATTTTAGGCTCACCCACCCTAACACATACTGAGTGGTGTATTTATAACAACTCATCATTATACAGTCCTTTAAATTAAAGTGGTATTATACCCAAAAACATACAAATTATATTGCAGCTTACCAATTCTTAGATGTGATGGCTGTATTAACTTTTCTTTTTCAGGCTTTCTTTCTTTTATTTTCATCTTGTAAGGGCTCATGTACAGTGCAGCTGATAAACTGACAATCAGGAGCTGTTCAGCATTTTTTCAGCAGCCCCTGAACTCTCCCTAATGTTGTCCATGTACAAATAGTCGTTTACAGGCAGTTAAGTTTACAGTCATTTTTTGGAACGCACCAAAAAATGTTTGCTGGCGTTTCAAACGCCAAACACTTGTAAACACGTTTAAACGCTTGTAAACACAGTTAACCGCGTTTATAAGCATTTGTGTTTAAAAGCGTTTTTTAACTGTTCCATGTCCAGATGTTGTCCAGAGCCTTTTTTCATCATCAGAAATGCATGCAAAGCATTTTCCATGTATTCAAATGGACCTAGTACACCAGCGCAGTCAGTTCCAGGTTTTGCGTGGAAACTGTGGAAAAATGGTAGAACGTGCCGCATTATGCCCATGATGGGATCCACAGTGAATACAACCAGAAAAGACAGGTCATCTCAACACATACTGCTCTCTCTGCTTCTGCTCTCTCTATTCATCTCAAAATGTCTGAAATAGTTAATTTTTTACTATTTTTCAGTGCATTCTGGGCATTTGGGAAGGTCTCCTGAGGTTATCTTTTAAAAACGCCTCTAAATGAAAACGCACATAAACACGCATAAACACGGTATGCAAACACGGCTAAACTGACGGTTTTTAACCTACATTTTCCAGCAGTCAGTTTCCATCATTCAAAAGAGTTTTACAAATGCCCCGTGTACATGAGCCCTAATCTGGCCAGTAAGTCTGTTTTCAACAGAACACGCTCTCCTGCAAATGTATCAGTTAAAAGCGTTGAAACAAACCATTTACCTTTGACAGAGGAGCTTGATCAACTTTTATTTATTCATGTAAAACCGTAAAAAAAAACTGTCGCTGTAACTGCTTGTGTAACTGCATGTGAGCTGGAATGTGGCTTCAATTTGTGCAAAATGTATCTAAATCTGCGATTCCATCTAACACTCCCCTCCCCTTGACTAGTGTAAGCACTCTAATATGGGAGGTGTCTTACTGGCCAGATCACCAGGTGAAAACAGAGGGAAAAAGCCTAAAAAAAAAGAAAACGAATGCAGCCACTACATCTAAGGATTGGTAAACTGGAATATATTACAGTTCTGGTTTTGAGTTTAATACCACTTTAAAGACTTTCACAGACATACATGACATAGGCACTTACAAACAAAAGGCTTAGCAAAAATAACCTACACAGGCCTCTGCACACAGACATAATAATCTACTGATATTTATACACAAGATCATGCTGGCAGAAAGATTCTGAGTAAATTACACAAGTTATTTTCCGTAAAGATCCTGCCTATACATCCGTATAGGTGCATAAACGCATGCATACGTATACACGCATAAAAATATTAATTCTCTTCTAGCTGCCAGTGTTGCAATTTATGCATATAGGCTCATATGTACTTGAGTAAACAAATTATTTGAACTCAGATGTAGATTTTTTTTGCTCTGAATCACTGCATTACAGATCTTTATGCATCTTTATGAAGCTGTGTGCTGTGCACTGTCCCATAGACAACAATGCACCTGTCCTATTGCCATGTCCCAATTGGAGAAATGTATTTACCCCCACCAGAAAGGAAAACAAAGAAAAAGAAGGGGGTTTTGTCCATACATTCACTTTCAAGTGATATATCTTATAATATCGTTATGCAATAAAAGTTTGACCTTAAGAATCTGCTGTTAAAGAAAAGTGTGTAAAAATAATGGTAAATATATAATATAAAAATGTTGGTGAAAAAATAAAAATAATAGTGAAAAGTATAGTATAAAATATAGGTGAAAAGCAGGGGTAGATCTACCTGAACAACATGGGAGAAGTCAAAGATCACCATGCACAGTGTCAGCCAGTCTCACCTCCTCACACCAGATTTAAACCTTGAATTGCCGTACTACTGTGTCACAATCACGTGCTTTCCGTGGCAATCATGGGTTTATATCAAGTGTTGAGAAGGCAATATATTGCCTCCTCACCACCTGTCAAACACACTTGGATCTCTTTGCAGAGGAGCAGTAGTGTCTGCTGCACTTGTGAATGAGCCCATAGCTGCATCCAGCAGTGGCACCCTTATGGCTTGTTCACATGTAAAGTTGGTTGGTGGTAAAACCCTGCAGTTGAGTCATGGTTTTACTGCCCCCCCCCCGTCCCTACCCTCTGTAGCTGCTGAAGCAATAGCCAAGGGTATACACATGCTGCAGCTGGAATTACACCCCATGTTGCTTTTGGTGGGTGCTACCGCCTGTCAGTCAAGACCCATTCAAGTAAATGGGGCCACTCTGCAAGTGCCTCACACCTGCATGCTTCTGCGGGGTCCAAGGGGTTAAAGCATGTGGTGAGAAAGCAACACACTTCTGCCTGCTTAACCCCAACCATGACAGGGCATAGGAGCCAGCACTACAGAGCTACAGAAGGAGACATCAACTTATGCAGCTCTTGCTCCCTACTACAGATCTAACTTTACATGTAGTCCCTCTGCATTGCACTGTTTGATGGTCTGGATGGCGGGTCAGCAAGCCCTGACGAGCGAGATCTACCAGACACCTGGCCAAGATCTACCGGTAGCTCACGGTCTACTGGTTGCTGACCCCTGGTGAAAGGTATAAAAATGTAAAAAAAAAAGTATTGGTGAAAAGCAGAAACACTGGCTAATAATATTAGGGCAAAAAATGAAACACATCAGTCAGGAGGAAAAAAAAAGTTCAACCAAAATAGAAAAATTAAAACTTGTACCAGCAAAATCCCAAACCCGCAGCTATAGTTTGTCCATTTAAAACCAAATCTAGTAATCTACTGAGCTGCCTAAAACCAGCTCATGTGGAAGACTATTCTACATTTTCACATATCTTACTACAAACCCATGCTGTATTACAGGAAGAAATGGATACCGATGACTCATGTAAAGAGCTACAGATTTTTTTTTAAATGTTCTAAATAAATAAAATAAATGATTAAAAAATCACACAGTTAAGCTGACCTTTCTCTTTCTTGGGACAGGATCTTCAAACAGCAGGTTGCCATTGTCAGTATCATCAGCGTTGTCGTCTGGATGAGCTGTACATCGGTATTGTCTGAAGTTGTCTGCAAATAAAGGGGGTGATGGAGTTGATGGATTGGAATGGTCACTTGTGTTACTCCAGCTCCAGTAACCACTGCTGTCATGGCTGGATGGTGCGCACCCCGTCTCTTGCCATGATCCATTCACATCTGCCAATAGAAGGGTCACAGTATATGTACATGCTCATTGGAGAGGCAGATGTCTGCAGGAATTATTAAAGCTGATATTAAAAAAAAATGCAACTGGGAAGATTTTTTTACATGCAGAAGAGACCTACCATCTTACCTTCCTGTCTGCAGATTTCTCTGTGTACACTGAGCTTTTGCATCTGCCAGGTGCTGGGTTTAACTCCTGTGCCCACACAAATGTCAAATTAGGAGCAGCAGCTGTGTACGTGCAGCTGCTGCATTCTGATTGGCATGAATGGGAGTGCCTGAACACCTGTACCTCCCATGCAGGCAAAACACAACCCTCACATGGATGTATACTAAGGGTAAATGACGTGGGGCACAGGCATGCGTCTCCCATGCAGGAACCATGTTTTACTGGAATGGGGATGCACAGGTGGTTGTGTGCATGCCTGTGCTGGTGTCCCATATATTTCTATTGGGACACGAGGCTGCACGGACACAGCAGCTACTGTATGTGCCAATATATCATACAAATGCATACAGATGTGGGTCCTCAAATGTGTTTTTGAGGGTTCTGTGATGCTTTTTTGAAGCTTTAATGAAGCTTGGCAAATGCCCTGTGTGTGTTAATTTTCTATTCGTTTTAAAGGGGCTTAGTAGAACCTTGGCTCAGCAGATCCCCAGCTCATTAGTAGCCCCATTCAGCAGATCCCCAGGTCATTCGTACCCCCACTCAGAAGATCCCCAGCTGATTAATACCCTCATTCAGCAGATCCCTCGCTCAGTAGTACCCCCAGCTCTGCTGATGCCCCCCCTTAATAGTACCTTCAGCTCTGCTAATCCCCCGCTCAATGTTAACCCTCAGCTCTGCTGATCCACCTCTCAACAGTAACCCCCAGCTCTGCTGATCCTGCTAGTTTCTCCTGCTGTGGTTTGCCAGTTCTGCTGATCCTAAACTGATCAGTCCTCTCTCTCCAGTCACCTCTCACCTTCCACTACAGCATTCTCACATTGCTCACCATGTATGCCATCTGCTAGTTACTCCTTTCTAGTCCAGGCCCTGCTCACCTTCCTGCGGCTCCTCGCTGCACACCACATGTGACGTCTGCACCAGACACCCCTAGAGTATATACACATGAACTGGAATGGAAAAGACTGCCTATGATGTCTTTCTGGTTCACTTGTTGGTTTCCCAGTGCATCCTGGGATATCTCATACTTCCAAATACAAAACAAAGCTAATTCTGAATACATGACCCTTAAATGCTGCAGGTGCTGCTAGAAAGCGCTGTGATAGACTTCTATGGAGGCTGGAGATGCCTTGAAGTACCAGGAAAGCAACATACAGTATACTTTTTGAAGCAAGGCAAGCACAACAGTGTAAACAGGTCTGTAATGTAACTATTTTATTTAGTGAGAGACATTTAAATTGGCATTCAGAGCTATTTAAAAAAAAACACATTTTGAAGGAGGTGTAAATTAGCCCTTAAAGACAGGCAAAATATCCATACCCAGCCTTGTGAAATATAATCTGTCAACATAAATGCCACACAGGTTTGTAATTGAAATGACTGTGGCATAGAAATGTTTGCATGTACTTTATATGCAGTTGTGTGTGATCACTGTATATTCTGAGCCTGTATTGGCCTTCTGACAGATCAGTATGGGAAGTAAACTTCGGTGGCACCTTGATCACTACATGTGACTTCTATAAAGATTTGTAAATTAGGCAACTTATCAGCAGGTTATAATAAGGTCCCATTTATTGTTAAGAATATTGGTGGCAAGTACTCTCTTTGCTTTTTTTGCACTTGCTGCGAATTCTCCTTCCCACATGTATCTACCAAATTAGTTTAAAATTCAGAAAGAGCTTATTTTATTCTCTTTATATAATGGAGGAGAGGAGGAAACATTTCTGTAAACATTACATACCAGTAAGTCGAACTGAAGGATTCTGAACCAGCGGACTTGTAGACAAGCTGGTCAGTACCATAGCAGCTGTCACTTTATCCATGTCTATCTCTTCATATTTCCTAGAACACAGAAAAACATATCACTAGCATCGTATAGCCTACATCCAGCAATGCTAACTCAACAAGTCAAAGTAAAAATAACCATCAACCATAAACCACACTTTGGCATAGAGGTACAACCTGACTTTAGATAAACCATTACTTCCTTGCTGCTGCCATTAAAAGAAAACAATACAGCACAGAAATCAAAGAAAGCAGTAGAACCTTGTGAGCTGCTAAAAATGTACACAACTTAACCTCTTGCTGCCCAGTCACTGTATTAAAACGGAGGCAGGGCGGCATGGCTGCACAAAAGCACATTTTCAAACGCCCCCCCCCGCCGACCCGCGGCTGTTACCATTTGATCCCTGAGGGATCAATCATTCGGTTTCAGCCAGTGATGTCCGGCTGAAATCGGATGATCGGTCCCAGTCCTATCCTGTCGGTGTTGACATTTACACAGGACAGGATATGATGTCATTCTTCTCTGCCTGGGCACATTCCGTCCCAGAGAGAGAAGAAGACACAGTAAACGTAAGTAAAACACTACACATTTACAGTTAGAACACACCTAGGTCACATTTAACCCCCTGATCGCCCCCCAGTTAACCCCTCCACTGCCCTGTCCCCAGTGTCATTGATCACAGTGAACAGATTTTTACTGATCACTGTATCAGTGTCGTTGGTGACTTCCAATAGTGTTAGCGCCCCTCCCAGATAGCGCCAGTTTGCCCGCTAGTACACCAGTAATCCCATTTAACCCCTTGATCGCCCCCCCAGTTATAACCTTCACTGCCCTGTCACCAGTGTCATTGATTACAGTGAACAGATTTTTACTGATCACTGTATTAGTGTCACTGGTGATGTCCGATAGTGTTAGCGTCAGTTAGCGCTCCTCCCAGATAGCATCAGATTGCCGCTAGTACACCATTAATCACATTTGACCCAGAATACATTTTGGCCTAAATTTACGACTAACTCTGAGTTTACTATATATTTTTTATAGCCAAATGTAAAATATACAGTTTTTTTCAAAATTTTCGTGTTGTTTTTTTATAGCGCAAAAAATAAAAAGCGCACAGGTGATCAAATACCACCAAAAGAAAGCTCTATTTGTGTGAAAAAAAGGACGTAAATTTCATTTATGTACAGCATTGCATGACCGCGCAATTGTCAGTTAAACGAATGCAGCGCTGTATAGCAAAAAAAGGCATAAATTACAGTATCTATACCATAGTTTGTAGACGCTATAACTTTCACACAAAGCAATCAATATACACTTATTGGGATTTTTTTTTTACCAAAAACATGTAGCAGAATACATTTTGGCTTAAATTTATGACTAACTTTGAGTTTATGATATATTTTTTATAGCTGAAAGTAGAAAATATCGTTTATTTTCAAAATTTTCGTGTTTTTTTTGTTTATAGCGCAAAAAAAAAAAAATAAAAAGCGCACAGATGATAAAATACCACCAAAGGAAAGCTCTATTTGTGTGAAAAAAAGGACGTAAATTTTGTTTGGGTACAGCATTGCATGATCGCGCAATTATCAGTTGAAATAGTGCAGCTCCAAACAGCAAAAAAAGGCCTGGTCATTAGGGGAGTAAATCCTCAGGAGTTCAAGTGGTTAAATTAGTGTAATTATCAAAAATCAATATAATACAAAAGCTTATATAAAGGCTGCGAACAATGCTGTCTCCCTTTACCAACAGCTACACACCTTATGCATATCTCATACAAACAAGCATATCAACCATAGACAACCAATTAGTGCAGCGCTTAGTATATATAACACATTAATATTAGTTCCATAAACATTGCCACAGACTCCCAAATCATATAAAAATATGTAAGAATATTCTTGGAAGAGTCTGCAAACTTCAGTGGATGAAAATCACATGTTGTGACACCATTAGTGCTTAATCCAACTCCGTGCTGAAAAACACCACCACTAGATGTCTGGTCAATATACATCCTTTGTCCCTCAATGGACCATATGGATTTCCTATACGGGCTTGGAACAGTCTCCACAGCTTCCGTTTAGTCTCCTTCCATCAACCACTCCACCTCATACAAACAGACCTGACATAGTGCTTTTTCCTTTAAAACGATCATTTGTGTTCTAAACATAAAAAGTTGCAATCACATTGAAATCCATATGGTCCATTGAGGGACAAAAGGCGTATGCTGACAGAACATTGAATTGTGAGGTTATATACTTGAGCTGAGCAGACATCTGATGGTGGCGTTTTTCAGCACGGAGTGGAATTAAGCAGTAATGGTGTCACAACATGTGATTTTCATCCACTGGAGTTTAAAGGACGTTTCCAAGAATATTCTTACATATAATTTTATATGGTATGGGAGTCTGTGTGGCTATGTTTATAGCACTAATATTGATGTTTTTATATATATTAAGCACTGCACTAATTGGTCATTTACAGCACAGAAATACCTGTGTGCTGGTTGTTGGCTTCCTCCCAGTCCAAACTACTGCTGACACCTCAGCTTCTTCACCACAGCCGAAGAAGGGTTCTGTAGGTGAGGCAAAGGTTATGATCAGAAGTTAATGAGTTCCTCAGTCTTACAGAGAACCCTCCCTGGGCTGGGGTGAAAAGGGTAATCAGCAGCCTGTTGTATCCAGAGTATGCGCCAGTGAACAACTACATACTTGAAGGGTAGCAAATGTTATCTTTATCATGGCAGCAGGCTGGTGTTCAGGACCCAAAGTCAATTTTTGATTTTACATTCACTTTAAGATGATATTCATGCATGTTTCTTAGCACATATTAACAATCCATGCACTATAAAGGTATAAACAACAGCTCTAGCAGTATAGGCTATCTGTGACAGTTAAGTGCAATGAGGCGCAAAAAACTTTAACAAAGAGAATACGTTGTCTTCCAGCTATGGTGTCCCAAGTAGCAGCAAAACAGTTGTGAAGTTCAACAACTTAAAGCACGGTTGGCCAGGTAAAGATGGGACTTCAAACTATCCCAATAGATTTTAAAAAGTAGAAGTATATTCTTAGAATGTCTTTATGTTTGTCTTTATGTGTTGTTTAAAGAGAAAAAAAGGGAAATGGACATGGAGTAAAGGGAAGAGAAATGAAGATTAAAAAGGGAAAAAAAAAAGAACAGAAAAAAAAGAAAGGGAAAGAAAAAAAATGAAGATTGTAAAAATTAGCATGAATATAATCATCATGACTAAAAGGATGAGGATTAAGTTATTGTAAAATGATAAAAAGTTAAAAAAAATGATAAGGTAAAAATGTTAAGAAAATAAAAGAAGAAACTACTATTGCCTACTATCAGCTGGTGTTCAGGACCCAAATTCAGTTTTTGATTTTACATTCACTTTAAGATGATATATTATGATACATATTAACAATCCATGCACTATAAAAAGGTATGAACAACAGCTCTAGCAGTATAGGCTATCTGAGAGTTAAGTGCAATGAGGCGCAAAAACTTTAACCAAGAGAAGATGTCTTCCAGCTATGGTGGCCCAAGTAGCAGCAAGACAGTTGTGAAGTTCAACAACTTAAAGCACGGTTGGCCAGGTAAAGATGAGACTTCAAACTATCCCAACAGATTTTAAAAAGTAGAAGTATATTCTTAGAATGTCTTTATGTTTGTCTTTATGAAGGGAAATGGACATGGAGTAAAGGGAAGAGAAATAAAGATTAAAAAGGGACAAAAAAAAGAACAGAAAACAAAAAGTGAAAGAAAAGGATGAAGATTGTAAAAATTAGCATGAATATAATCATCATGACTAAAAGGATGAGGATTAAGTTATTGTAAAATGATAAAAAGTTAAAAAAAATGATAAGGTCAAAATGTTAAGAAAAAAAAAGGAAGAAACTACTATTGCCTACTATCAGCTGATGGGGCAGAGCTGCAACAGGCTTGGGAAATATCCCAGGATATTGTTGGGATCCACATGGCTGCATGACTGACAGTGAACTTTGCCTTTCAGTAAGTGGCTGAGAGACAGAGCCAACCACACCTACCCTCTCCCCAGCCTGGGGGCCAACATGGGACAGCTGCATCTTGACACTGATGCTGCAACATGGAGGGGAGTATGTAAGTTTTTTTACATATCCTATACTTCTCCTTTAATTAATAACTGAATTATCTAGGATTTTTTAACATCTGCCTTGAGTTCAGCTGTAAATTTTGTTTTTAGTGGGAAGCACAGAACCATAGGCTGGACCTGGGTAGATGTAAGGAGTAAATATAGAAGAGCAGTTAAAGAAAGAGGATTAGTGGGGCAGGGGGTTTATTCTTGACTCCATCAGTCCAACACTTAGTTTTTGGAATTAGGCTCCTGATGTCAAGAGAAACAATCTGCAGGTCCCTTAAGAGTTATTTTAAAACAGTCACCACGTACCCTATTACCATCTCCTAAAATATAGCTTTAATTGTTATCCTCCTCCAGACAGATTACATTTAAGTACAACTAAGGACAAAACTGTATTTTCGTTTTTGGACAGAGTGGAGATGGATTAGAACCCCTGTCAGGTTTTTATTGCTGTCTGCACCCCCATTAGGGAGATTCACCCTCTCTAGTTGTCCTGTTTACCAATTTCATTGAAAGTGAAGTAAAAGTAGAAGATTGAGTGGAAGTAAAAGAAAATCCCAAATTTTGGGTTGTCCCCAGAAAAGTAATAGAGGGGAATTCTTCCAATGGGGACACTATTTCTGGTGACCTGGGGGCACAATGGGATTCCTTTAATTTGCAGGGATTTCCTCTCCCTATTTTGGCTATGGAACAGGAAGTAAAGGTAAATCTCCCCAATGGGACATAGAGCAAAAATAAACTGACAAGGGTTATGACTCTCCCTTACTATATCCAAAATGAAAAAAATATATTGCTTATAGTTCTACTTTAATCTTTCAGATGGCCATACACAGGTAGAATTTCATTAGAAAAGTTTTATTTTGGAGCATTAATTTTTCTAATAGTTAATGGGGTCAAACCAATAATTATTTTTGACTGTAGTGACAAAAAGAATTGAATGGAATGGAAATTTTTCTCTAATGAAAGAAACTTACAGTGAATGTAGTTTTCATTCAAGAAATTCCATTCCTTTCAAAATCGAATGTTAAAAGCACACAAACTTTTGAAATACTTTTTAACAACTTTGCTTAAGTCTCTGATGGCATTATCAAATATACTGATAAAATGTTTTCATACGAACGTTCATACCAAAATCTACCAGTATATGGCCACTTTTAGGCTAATGCCACAAAGGAGATTCTATGGCAGGCAACACATTGTTAGCAGCAAAATCACATAGGAGGGGGTTCTACTTGTTTCTATGGAATCCCTCCCCTTTCTAGTTCATAATGCTTCCAAATCTCCTGCACTACTAAGGGACTGACATCTCGCTGGTCCAGCTAGTGAGGGAGAGGTTCCATGAAAACAGATATGTGGTTTGTTAGCAATTCTATCACTGGCAAATTGTCACTAATGAAACCATTGTTCTTATAACTAGAGATGAGCGAATTATTCAAAAATTCGATTCGGCTGATTCGGCGAATTCGCGGAATAAATTCGATTCGAGTCGAATATATTCGCTGCGAATTTTACTTATAAAAAGGGTGTTTCTAGGCTTCAGAGAGCCTTTATATTAGTGCAGAACACTGTACCTTTAATTTAAATGCCCTTGGAGTCTGCTGGGGAAGAGAAATAATACTGTCAGTCAGTATGACATGCAGATGAGTGCCGTCGATCTTAGAATCACCGCACACTTCACTCATTTGGGCAGTCACGGGGGCCAAAACCAGAGTGTGGAGCCACAGTGTTGGCGGTGGAGGCAGCAGCAATGGGAGGCCATACAGCACCCTATGACAAAATGGAACCACCAGCAGTGTGAGGAGACCTGAAAGTGGCACATGGCAGAGTGTGGCGATGGAGACAGCAGCAAATGGGAGGTCATACAGGGACCCATGACACACTCTGGACCTGGCAGCAGCATGAGGAGGCGGTACAGGGGCCCATGACAGATTACGGGCCTGGCAGCAGCATGGAGGAGTCGGTACGGGGCCCATGGCAGATTACGGGCCTGGCAGCAGCAATGGGAGGCCCGTATCAGGGACCCATGACACACTCTGGACCTGGCAGCAGTGTGAGGAGAGGCGGTACAGTGGCCCATGACAGATTACGGGCCTGGGCAGCAGCATGAGGAGTCGGTACGGGGGCCCATGGCAGATTACAAGCCTGGCAGCAGCAATGGGAGGCCCGTAATCTGCCAGCACCCTATGACAAAATGGAACCCACCAGCAAGTGTGAGGAGACCTGAAAGTGGCACATGGCAGAGTACAGGTGGCGATGGAGACAGCAGCAATGGGAGGCCGTGACAGGGACCATGACACACTCTGGACCCTGGCAGCAGCATGAGGAGGCGGTACAGATCTGCCAGCACCCCCATGACAGATTACGGGCCTGGCAGCAGCATGAGAGAGTAATCGGTACGGGGCCCATGGCAGATTACGGGCCTGGCAGCAGCAATGGGAGCCGTACAGGGACCCATGACACACTCTGGACCTGGCAGCAGCATGAGGAGGCGGTACAGGGCCCATGACAGATTACGGGCCTGGCAGCAGCATGAGGAGTCGGTACGGGGGCCCATGGCAGATTACGGGCCTGGCAGCAGCAATGGGAGGCCCGTAATCTGCCAGCACCCTATGACAAAATGGAACCCACCAGCAGTGTGAGGAGACCTGAAAGTGGCACATGGCAGAGTGTGGCGATGGAGACAGCAGCAATGGGAGGCCGTACAGGGACCCATGACACACTCTGGACCTGGCAGCAGCATGAGGAGGCGGTACAGGGCCCATGACAGATTACGGGCCTGGCAGCAGCATGAGGAGTCGGTACGGGGCCCATGGCAGATTACGGGCCTGGCATCAGCAATGGAGGCCGTAATCTGCCAGCACCCTATGACAAAATGGAACCCACCAGCAGTGTGAGGAGACCTGAAAGTGGCACATGGCAGAGTGTGGCGATGGAGACAGGCAGCATCAATGGGAGGCCGTACAGGGACCCATGGGACACACTCTGGACCTGGCAGCAGCAAGAGGACGCGGGGTACAGGGGCCCATGCAGAGTGGCGAAGCGTAAGCAGCTTAAATTGAAGGCCATACAGAGGCCTATGTTTTAAAAATAATAACATGTTTGGGGCAGATTCAACATGGCGGATTTAGTCAGTTGTGTCAGGAACTGGTGGTTTGAAATCCAGACTAATCCACGCCTGATTCATTTTCACAAACGTGAGTCTCTCCACACTTTGGGTGGACAGTCGTGTCCTCCGCGGAGTTACAATACCTCCTGCCGCACTAAACACGCGCTCCGATGCCACGCTACTGGGCCGGGCATGACAGCCTTTCAAGGGCAAATTCAGCTAGTTGGGCCAAAGGTCAAGTTTCGTTGCCCAGTAGTCAAGGGGATTGTCTACCTCGGTTGGCAGGGTGCTGTCCAAGTAGGCCCAAGCCTGTTGTTTGAGGTCCTGCTCCAGGTCCACCTGATGCTGCTGCTGCTGCTGCGGGCTGGTTTAGTAGTTTCCTCACTGCGCTGGTGAAGAAAAGCTACTTATCATCGACTGCAGACTGAGGCAGCCGCTGCTGGTTGGAGCTGCCACTGCTCCTACCACCCCACCCCTCCCCTGCTGCCATGCAGCGGAACGCGAGCGCACAGGGCCCACAGTGTCTGAGGATGGACGTTGGTCGCAGAAAGGCAGAGACCAACTGACTACATAGGTGGTTTTTATAGTACGTTATTTTGGCCTCCCTCTCAGCAGGTGTGAAAAAGGCACCATTTTTGAACGGTTAGCGAGGGTACCAACAAGGTGGACAGCCAAAAGTCATCCCTCTGTCTGATGGTTATTATTCGGCTGTCGCTACGCAAGCAACGAGCATGCTATGGGCCATTTGTGCCAAGGAATGCGAGGGACTCCCTGCCTCCATCTCCACAGCATACTGCCACGGTGCGTCTGGGTCCTCTGTCTCCTCCTCCTCCTCCTCTACCAGATGCTCCTGCTCCTCCATCCTGTCGCTGAGTGGAAAAACCACCCATTTCACTCAATAATTCTGAGCACCAATGTCCTCCTCTACCTCCTCCTCTTCTTCCTGTCCTGCCCCCCACAGGGGTCATGTGGCGTTGAGATCTGTGCGCCACGTCTACCGCACCCTGACCAGCCATTGTTAACAGCATTTGTTCCAGGACGTGCAACAGAGGAATGACGTCGTTTCATCCCATAGTCCTGCCGACTCACGAATAGCGTGGCCTCCTCAAAGGGCCTGAGCAAGCGGCAGGTGTCACGCATGAGCTGCCAATGGCTGACATCTAAGTTACACAGGGGAGTACCTTTATCCGCTTGTAAAATCAGGAAATCGGTTGATGGCCTTTCGCTGTTCGTAAAGGCGGTCTAACATAACATATGGGGGTTGAATTCCACTTGTTGCAACGTCGCAGATCAGGCGATGCTGTGGAATTCCGTTCTGCCGCTGCAGCTCAAGGAGGGTGTGTGTTTTGCTTGGGTGTAGAATGGCTGAAATGCATGCAAAGTTTACGTGACATTTTAAGGATGTCTTGCAGTGGATGGTGGATTTCAGGAACCGCTTGACAACAGATTTGAACACAGTGAGCCATGCATGGCGCACTGGCACAACCTTCCTTGACATAGAGCAGACACCATGTTCTTTCCGTTGTCGGGTCAACATGGTTTCCGATTTTCAGTTTGCGCGAGACAGCCATCTGTTCGATTTCTCTGTCTCATTACACTCAGAAGTTCCTCCCTGTGTGACTACGTTCGCCAAGGCATACAGGTGCAGCACAGCGTGACACCGTTGCGCCCTGCACATGTGCTATACCGGTCGGGTAATGGGACTTGGCACGGGGGGTGGCGGCTGAGGACAACGGCGCCGAAGAGAGGTGGTAGAGGCGGACATCTTTGCTGGACCAAGGACGTGCAAACGTGGAGGCAAAAGCGGCGTGACCTGTCCAAGTTGCTGGTGCGGCTGTGCCGGCACCACGTTCACCCAGTGGGCCGTAAATGACATGTACTGTCCCTTCCCTGACCGTAGTTACAGCTCCACACGTCGGCGCTGCCGTTGCACTTTTATTTGGCAGAGATTCCGGACATGCTCAAAGACTGTCCCACCAACTCTTCTACATGAGAAATGCAGGGCTGGCACTAGCCTTTTTGGCGAAGAAATGCCTGGCTTGTTTGGCACTCTCCACCGCGGCTCGGCACAAAGCCATCATTTCTCGGAAAGGTGCTGAGTACCACCACTTGGTAAAGGGAGGGCCTGCAGCACCAGCAACTTGGACAGAAGGACGTTCAGCTGTTCTGCACCGTCGGGTGCGTGCTCGCAAACTGTTGTCTCTTGGAAACGGATTCCAAGAAAGACTGCTGACGGAATTCCGTGAAGAGGGAGTAGCAGGAGAAGGAGCATCTGAACGAGCGGAAGATGCCAACGAGCGACAACTACCCCTCAGCAGAGGTGTTTGGAGCCCTTGACTGGCTGATAGAGGGCGATTGACGTCGGGTGACGGAGCAAGTTAAAGGAGCGATGTGTGATGGAGGGGGGCTGGGGCAGGCAGAACCGCCGCATCTTTTATCACAGTTTATTTTTTTTTCCCCAGGCCCACCGTATAATGGCGACGCTGCATATGCTGACGCAACGCTGTAGTCCCAACATGGGCCCCCTGGCCACGCTTGACTTTCTGGCCACATAGTCGAAATACGGCTACGTTTACTTCCTCGGTGGCGGCTTGACGAAAAAATTGCCACACCGCCAAGTAGGAAACCTTTGCCCCCCTACTCCTCACTGGCTGACTGCTACTTTCCTCCGTGCACACCGGCACCACTACTGGCCGTAGGTTGTGGTATGGCTGCAGTGGAGCTGGTGCTCTACTCCGTGGCGTTGCCTCCACTGACACTGCTGCGACCCTGCTGCCTCTCCTGGGCAACCCACCGACTGTTTTGCTCGCTGCCAAGCTGGCACCCTCTTCTCCTGATGATGCGGAAGCAATAGCCTGGATGGACGACGAGGCTGCCAAGTGCGATCAGCCTCATCATCATTTCAATTAGGGTCTTCCGCCTCACTACTAGCCCCTCGGCTGCGTGTGGTTTGTCAGGAGACAGACCTGTCTCTAGACCGGCTCACCGAGCCACTCTCCTCGCCAGTACTTCTTCGCCTGGCTGCTGAAGAGGCGGATGTCTCCCCCCGTTTCCTGACCGACCAACTCTGTTAGCTCTTCCTCACTGTACTGATGGTGGGCTGTATGAATGCGTCGCCACAGCTTTGCGATACTTCGCTTGGTGAGGGAAGCACCAAAGGACAGTGGCAGGTAGAGGACACGTGATTTCAGTGGGCTTGCTCTCCGGCCATGCCAAAACTAACGGTTGTGTCTGACGTACCCACCGACCGTTGGCTGTAGGTGTCAGAGGTGTAACCTGGGAAGAGGAAGACGACCGAGCCAACCAATCGATGACATGGCAGGGTTGTCGGTGGAGACACGACCGCTGGATGACACCGGAGCACTGGACCTCTGGCTGCGACTAGTGCTGCCTCGACCCCTTCCTCTGCTGCCACGTCTGCTCGCCTCACATTGAATACATTGCCACCTCCTGCTGCCACTCCTCTGCGTAACGTTGTCCTCTGTAACAGCTATTCTCTGTGTCCCCCGTGTAATGATTCTGTGTGTCCCTGAGTCTAAAAGAATTCTAGTGTTCGCCAGTAATCGATTCTGTGGCCTCATTTCGCTGTGTCCCTGAGTAACGATTCTGTGTTTTTCCCCTGAGTAACAATTCTGTGTTCTGTCCCTGAAGTAACGATTCTGTGTTCGCTGAGTAACTAATCAATTTCTGTGTCCCTGAGTAACGATTCTGTGTCCCTGAGTAACGAATCTGGTAACATTCCTGTGTACCCTGAGTAACGAATTCTGTGTCCGCTGGAGAGTAAACAAATTCTAGTGTCCACTGAGGAATCGAATACCTGTGTCCTGAGGTAACGCAATTCTGTGTCCCTCAGTAAATTCTTATGTACTGTGTCCCCAGCGTAACTATTTGTGGTCTGGTCCTTCGTGAGTAAAACAATTCTGTGTCCCACTCATGAAAACGATTCTGGTGTCCCTCTGATAACAATTCTGTGTCCCTCAGTATACGAATCTGTGTCCCTCAGTAACAATTCTGTGTCTGTTCCTTGAGTAACAATTTTGTGTCCCTTGAGTTAACACATTCTGTGTCCTGGTAAAATTCTGGTCCCCGAGTAACGATTTTTGTGTCCCCTGAGTAACATTTTGTGTCCCTGGAGTAACAAATTTTGTTTTCCCTGAGTAAA